CAGGTTGTCCTGGATATAACCCCATCTCTGCACATCCACACCTGCAGTTAGCAACAGCTTCTGAACGCAGCTGATGATCTGGCAAGGTTCAAAAGTATTTGCCAGGGCCAGTGCTGTGGCGCAGCAGGTTAAAGCCCTGGCCTGCAGTGCCGGCATCTCATATGGGTGCTGGTTCAAGCCCCGGCTGCTCCACTTCCCATCCAGCTCTCTGCCATGGCCTGGGAAAGCAGCAGAAGATGGCCCAAGTCCTTGCGGCTTTGCACCCACGTGAGAGACCCGGAAGAAGCTCCTGGCTCCTGACTTCAGATAGGCTCAACTCCAGCCGTTGCGGCCATCTGGGGAGTGAACCAGTGGATGGAAGACCTCTCTCTCTCTCTCTCTCACTCTACCTCTCTCTGTAACTCTTTCAAATAAATAAGATAAATCTTTTAAAAAGTATTTGCCAAGCTCCTCTCGACCAAAATGGTACCAAATATTGGATGAAACGATAAGATATGAAGACTTTCTGGAGGGGATTTCAAAGCATTTCGTTAACATTTCACACCTGATATAGGTGAAGAATTGAAGCAGAGGAAGGTTAAAGGGATAAGAATGGGGAAGGAACTCTATTACCATAGTCAGCTATTTAAAAAGTAGGAAGTCCTTGCTGTGTCTTCCAAAGTGTGGCCAGAGAGAGGCTGAAGGCAAAACTCCTGCCTAACTTCCCTCTTTGAGCTCAGTCTATAAAACATATCACACCACACCAGCATCATTCATGATAACAAAATGGAGGGAAACAACCCACTTATCCATCAACAAAGAAATGGAGAAGCAAAATACGTGTGCACCTACTTCAACATGTTCACAGAAAATGAATCAAAAGATAAACTGATTTTGCTGCAAAATTTTTTTGAAATCCATGCTTACAAGTGGTCTTTGTAAAGTTCATGAAAAAATGCAAATTATGAAATAACTACGCATGGATAGTTAGAAACATTACTCAGCTTTACAAAGGAATGAAGCAATAGGGCCGGTGCCGCGGCTCACTAGGCTAATCCTCCACCTTGCGGCGCCGGCACACCAGGTTCTAGTCCCGGTCGGGCCGCCGGATTCTGTCCCAGTTGCCCCTCTTCCAGGCCAGCTCTCTGCTATGGCCTGGAAGTGCAGTGGAGGATGGCCCAAGTGCTTGGGCCCTGCACCCCATGGGAGACCAGGAGAAGCACCTGGCTCCTGGCTTCAGATCAGCGCGGTGTGCCGGCCGCAGCGCACCGGCCGCGGCAGCCATTGGAGGGTGACCCAACGGCAAAGGAAGACTTTCTCTCTGTCTCTCTCTCTCACTGTCCACTCTGCCTGTCAAAAAAACAAAACAAACAAACAAACAAACAAAAAACAAAGGAATGAAGCAATGATCCACGCTATGCCAGGGATGAACCATGAAAACATTATGCTAAGTGAAATAACCCAGACACAAATACTGCATAGACAAATATTGTATGATTCCACTTACATGGGGCAGCTACAATAGGGAACTTCATAAAGACAGAAAATGGAACAGGAAGTAGACAAAAGCAAATGAAAACTAGAAATACAGGAAATGGAATAGAGTTTCTGGTTGAGATGATTAAAAAGTTGAGAAATGACCAGTGATGATGGTTGTACAATCCTGTAAATAAGCTTAATGCCACTCAACTGGACGCTTAGACACAGCTAAGCCAGTCAGTGTATTTTACCATAAAAATTCTATCAAAATCTGCATCCCATCCTTTTGTTTCTCAGTCAGAATTCCTAAAGTTTATTTTATTCCTTCATTGCCATTTAAGCCCAAGTTTCTTTTCAAGACCTGCTTCCAGCCAACAGTGTCATTGGTCAGTCTACCTCTGCTCATTCACACAGACTCACATCATTGCTCAAGGGCCACCTTCCAGGACACAGGGACCCATCCAGCCACAAACACCTGTGCACCCCAAGACCTCCCACTGGGTACCTCCGCCAAGGGGTCTCCTAGCAAGGTGAACGCAACCAGCCAACGTCACTGGAGTTCCAAGAAGCCAAACACCCAACATGCAACATCTTGGGCCAATACTTAAATCCCTCACAGGTGAAATACCCAGTTAGTACTCATATATGTGCATTTTACCTCTACAGAACACCGTGCGCACATGCCAGGAAGACCACCAGGAACTGCTCAGCCAACGTGCTCCCTCAGACTTATAAGCAAAGAGACTGCAGTCCAGCCATGGCTGTCCTGGTGAAGTCCACAACTGCACATTGCACGGAACAGTGGGTATCCCTAATGCAAATGCATGCAATTGAGCACGAAGCCTTGGTACCTTAGAGGACAAAGGCTATCTAAGCAGCATGTACCACTTGTGACTGCTGAAGAAAGAACTTTCCATCTTTTCTTAAAAGAATCCATTTCTCACAAGGCAAAGAACGTGAGAATAGGAGTCGTTTCAAACAGAAAGGGGTGTTGGTGGTGGTAGAAGTATGAGTTCTGGGTGTTCCAGTCACAATCCATCACCCAGCCCTGGGACGTACCAATCCTGGGCCACGCCACAATCTTGAATACTCAACTTTAAAGGCTTTCACAACCTCATCGTCTTCCATACGAACACTGCCAATGGTCTGATAACCGAGTCCGACAAGCTATGAAAGACCTCAAGAGCGCATGTGAAGGCTCTCTAGTCACATGTGCCATTGCCAACACACACACACACACTAGGCACTTGTAAGATGCCCACTTGACATCACTCCCTTGTGCATCCTGAACATATATCTCAAGACCACTCTGAGAGAGCCAGAGGCCAACATCTTCAGGGCAGCCTTTTGTCCCCCAGGTCCTCAGTTAGCAGAAACACTGCTAGAGACTGCTTCTCGAATATGCATGCTTCTTAAACCTCCGGGTGATTTTTGCCTCTGGATGGTCAAGGACAGGATGACTGGGCGGGGAGAAGTGACCATCTCAGGTGTTGATCCACAAAGCGAGTTCCATCTTTCCATGCAGATTACAGCTGCCTTCCAGAAGGAGACCACTATGTGGAGTCTCATGGCCTTTTTTCCACTGGTCTTAGACCAGCAAGGTTCTAGTGGCTTAGCTGTGTCTGACACCTCCCACCAACCTCCTCTGTCCCTGTGGCCCTTCCTCCCACCCCCCAGTTTCAGCCAGGACATCAGTGAGTGAACCAGATTCCAACGAGCGCATCCGTTTGTGCAGCAGAAAGAGGTCTTGGGTCTCAGGAGCTGCTGCACGTGAAGCCCACGTGCCACAGTTACACAAGGCCCGCTCGCACACAGGACCAGCGGATGATTAATGTACGACGAACACGTGTGCCGGATGGCCAGTTCTAGCAGGCCATGGTTTCACTCCCATGTCCCAGTGTGAGATGACCTCTCTACCCCACTGGGTTCCATTGCAAGTACCGTGGACTTCCATGCTGGGAAAACAGAGCTGGGGGACCAGATGGGAGGACGGGGTGGGGAGCGGCTGTACATACAGATGCCCCTTAGCCCTGCCCACCACGTCACAATCTGTGACCCAGCGCAAAGTGAGCCAGAGTAACTCAGAGCCAAGGGTTGCCATGCGCGCTGCTTTTTGGTGGCGAGCGAAAGGGGTGGCTGCTGGAATGGCCATGTGGGGCTCATTCAACAGCTGTGCATTTACCCACAGGGGAGGCTGGGAGGCTTGCCACGGGTGCCCCACTCCTCATCTGGGGGATTTCGACCCCCCACCATTTGACGAGGATGCTCCAGAGCAGAATGGCCCATACGCACCAGGAAGGTTCAAGCGCTGACTTCGAATGAAGTACAGCAAACTTCTGCCTCCAACAGCCTCCCCCAGCCCCCCTACCCCATCACCAGTGGTATTTATACTTTGAAAGAAGTTCAGGAGAAGAAGCAGTAGTCACCTGGGCGGGCTCGATTTTTGACAAGCCTTAGTCACTCCATACCCAGAACAATTCACATGATATTCGAAAATCCTGTGAAGATTCTGTCACACATGCTAACACTAAAATGCCAGGAGCTCCACTTACCTTCTTTATTAAGCCTCATAACCTCCCTGCTTTTTCCACCCTCTTTTCCAGCCTCTTCTAAATCTACATCTGCAGATGAAAAAGAAAAGCAAAAAAGAAAATAAGGAAAAAAAAAGAGATAGAGAAGGGGGAAAGGGGGGGGGGGTGGGGAAGCCAAAGTCTGGGTGGGTGGGGGAGGAGGGAGAGTGTTTATTTGCAAACAGATCGATCAGAAAGACTGTCTATGAAAATCTTTCAAAAATTGACAATGCAACCTTTCCTCCCAAGTCCGGGCTTCCAGCTACCTGGCCCAGAGAGGTACCCCCAAAAAACTATGCAAGCAGCAACAGAGTCGCCTTTCACGCGGATGCCGCGCCGGGGCTGCGGGAGCCCAGGCGGCGGGGGGCCGCGGGGGGCCGGGCGCGGACAGCCGGGCCGCCGGCCGCGGGCCTCGCTCCGCGCTCGCTCGGGGGGTGGGGGGGCGGCATGGAGGACACCGGGGGCCACTCGCTCTCTCACACACTTTTTTTTTTCCCCAGTGGCTGTAGCCGAATGGAGAGGTTACAGGATAATAAAGGGAGGAGGAGGCGGCGGGGTTCTTACTGTCGGAGCAGTGCAATTTGGCGGCGTCGATCCAGGAGGACCAGGGTTTGCCCAGAAACGCCTCCGGACTGGGCACTTTGCGATCCAGTGTCGCCATTGCTCTTCCTTCTTGTTGCTTTTTCCCTGTTCCTTCGGCAGCAGCAGCCGAGAGACACGGGATTCGAGAACGCTCCGACGTCATCTTCGGAACGTTCCGACATTGAGTGTTCTGAGCGCGGAGGGAGGGAGGGAGGGCGCAGGGAGGCGGCGGCGGCGGTGGCGGCGGCGGCAGCGGCAACGGCGGCGGCGGCGGCGGCGAGCGCGAGGGGAGGCGGGGCCGGCGCCCGGGCGCCCGCAGCCGGCTGGGCAGGCGGCGCTCGCGGCGCGGCGCGGCGGCCGCCAGGGGCAGCAGAGAGGCGTGCGCCGGGGAGGAGCCGCGCCGCGTGCCGGCAGCCGGGGCTGCCCAGGCTGCGGAGGCTGCGGTGCCGCCGAGCGGCCGGCGCGCGTGCTGGGGGCCGCAGCAAGGGGGGCTTTCCCACAGACCGGCAGCCGGAGGACCCAAAGTTTCTGCAGGCAGTCCCTGCCTCCCGCCCCAGGGCGAGGCGCTCCCGCGGAGGAGGGGGGGCGTCGTGGGGGTCCAGGGCAGCTCCGCACCCCCACGCCCTCCCCTGACCCCGGGCCAGGCACCGGAGCCTGCTGACCTCGCCCCCCCCGCCCCGGTCCCACCGCCCTTCACCCTTTCTCCTCTTGGTGGACCCGGGACCGTGGAGATCCGGAGACGCCTCTGGGAGCTGACCCCGATGGGGAGCTGGAAGTGGGTCTGAAAAGCAGGTGAGTGTGGGGCGAGAGGTGCCACGTTCCCACCGCAGGCTGCTGGCCGTGCACAGCTCACAACTCCGCCTGGGTCCTGGGAACCCCGCACTCCGCTGCGTGCCTGCGGCCCTCGGAGGAGCGCGGCGAGCGCCAGATAGAGTTCGCCGCGCGTGGGAGGCCCCGGAGCCCTGTCCGTCCAGCGCTCCCTGCCGGAGGACCCGAGCGGCCCAGGTCAGCGCAGGCAGCCCGAAGCCGGGAGTGGTTCCTTGGAGAAATCTTTCCAGGCTGAGCCAGCGAAAGAGGTAGCGCTGGATGGCCTCTGGATTTTGTGGTCTTTTCATTAAAATTTAACCCCTGTCCCTAAGAGTAGGCAACACGGGCCTTAACAAGTCTTATCTCAAAAAAAAAAAAAATCCTTTTATTTACTAGAAGTCACCTAAAATAAAGGGACAACCCTCCCCCATCATGGAATAGGTACCTTTCCTCTCTCTGCGCGGCACCCTGGAGTTCTTGCCACTACTTGTACCCAAATACTGCTGAAGCACAGTACTTGGAAGTTGCCGTGTGCTGGCTGAGTTCTGCCCTGGCTGTGCCGCCTGATGCTGTGTCCTTGGTACCCTGTCCCCAAAAGCCAGCGTTCGGGTGGGCGACGAAGGAAGGGCTTTGGACTTGTCTTCCCTTGAGCTGTTCGTGTGAGCGGACGGGCTTATGTCAGACCCAGAAAAGTTCACTTGCCTGTGCTCTCTTTGGAAGGGTTCCAGCCTGGCCACGGTGCTGGTGGATGGAAAACTCCCGTTTTAGTAGTTGGTGGTATTAACATATCCTGGTAACCGATTGGCCTCTGGTGATACACTAGACACTGGACTTGGCATTCCGTCCGTGCACCCATTTGTCCATGCAGCCATCGTGGTCCAGTTGCCCTTGACAGAAGTAGGACAACGAGGAGTGCCCCTGGCCTTCAGGGAGAAGGAATCCTGTGCCCTCTGATCAACTCTGAGGGGAAACCCCACACTTGTTGCGGTGCCTGGCCAGCATGGGAAGAGCGTGGGGTCCTGGGGCTGCAGGTGTTCACAGCTGCAAGGGACAGAAACTTTGTCACGGAGAAGTTGAGGTCCGCTCTGCATCTTGGGACTTGGGGTGGGTTCCTAGTGGTAAGGGGAATACTCATCTTGCCAAGGGAGGGGAGCTGAGCAGAAGCCTGGAGTGTTTGGCTGCTGAGCATGGTTACCTGGCTGGTGGGTTGGTATTGGGGGGTTGAGTGGGAAGAGTTTGGGTAGCCAGGCGTGGGCCAAATAATGGTACTGAATGGCAGCCCAGAGTCTGGGTTGTGTTTGACAATGGGGAGCCCCTGGAGGGTCTTCCTGTGCCATGAAGATGCAAGTATGACTTAGATTCCTCTGGCTGTGGTGTCCAAGACGTATTAGGGTATGGAGACGTGTAGTGCAATGTTCAGGGTGTGAAGAGAGGAACGCTGGAACTTGGCTGGGGCCTTGCAGGTGGAGAAGAGGGGACAGGTGTCGGAGGCTGTATGAAGAAAGCACCCATCAGAGAAGATGTTTGGCTGGGCTTTGGGGGAGAAGGAGAGAGAGCTCAAAGGCAGAAAACAATAGATGCTGGAACACTTTCCCTTCCTGTTCTGCATCGCTGTTCTGTCTCTATGATATTTTGGGGTGTTTATTCCTTTTTTTTGTGCACACCCGGAAGGTGTCAGGAGCCCTCAAATGGCCCCCAGTGATTCCTGCCTCCTGGTCTTCTTGCCCCACGTGGGCTGGACTGGGTGACTTGCCTCAGAAACAGAACACAGCCAAAGTGATGACTTAGGTTGTGACAGACTGTGACTGCTGCTTTGCGCGCTCTCTCTGGCTCTCCCTGGCTTGCTCAAAGGGAGTGCCACAGCCCACTGGTGAGCTCTCGGTGGAGCGGCCCATGTGGCAAAGAACTGAGGGAAGCCTCAGGAACTGGGGCCCTTGGTGCAACAGCTGCTCAAGGAGCTGGGTCCTGCAGGTGCCATGTGCGTGAGCCCACATGGCTCACGGGGAGTCGGGGACTTGAGTTTCCAGCCTTGTCTTTTCTCCTGGAAGCTCCTGTATACTGCTCAGAAAATCAAAGGTAGCTTATTTTCATTAGAAGTCAGGGCACCTCTGTTCCAGAGGAACAAGTCCTTGGTTCTATATTTTAACATTAGCCTACTTCCCCAGCTGTGTCTTTTGAGTAAGTGGAGATTACTACCCAGGAGGCTGAAGATGGTATGGCAGCCTAAACATTGTTCCATTCTGTCTGGGGGGATTTCAACTTTGCAACATAAAGTGTGAGCTGGAATCTAGAAATGATTTAAAGTCTACAAAAGAAGGCTTTGGATACATGGCTATATTTCATTCCTAATCAGACATGTTGTTGCAGTTGGAGTCACGGTGTATAACAGCTGAGTTGCCACTCCAAGCCTTCCACAGTTTCTCCACTGACCAGGAAGATTTGAATACCAACTTTGTGAAACTGTGACCCAGCTGTGATGTTGTTGGATAACATGGCTGTCAATCAGATTGTCTAATGGGCAGCCAGGGAACAGGGAAAACATTGCTCATCGAACTACTAGACTTTGGGTGAAAATCAAGGTCGATTGGGAGTAGCGTTTGGGATAACAGGATACAAATATAAATGTATACACATTGATACTCATATATCAACTATGTGTATGGCAAATTTATTGCAGATTTTAATTCCTTCTGGGAGTAAATAATTACAAAGACTGTTAGGGGTGGTAAGAATCGCACACATTGGTAATAGCAGTAAAGTGACCTGTAAAACTGTGATTTAAAACATTAGTCTAGTGTCTGTGTGATAAAACCATCAGGCAAAGACAGAACCCTACTTCCCCTCGTGATGAATGTTTAGGAGGATAAAAGGAGTGTGAATATTTTATTGTTTTATTGTGTTTGAAAAATGACAGGGTAGCTGTCTGAGTTGCAATGGAAGCTCTCCTGTAGCCCAACTGGAGAACTCTGTTCTCTGAAGAGGACCATGGGAAACACCCATTGAACTTGACTGACACCTGGTTCTGGAGAAATGCTTGTCTGCTGTGCATCCTGCACTCACTTAGTCTGATTCATGTGCTGCTTCACCACATTACTGAAGAGAAGAGGAGGCGAAGGGAATATTAGCACCCTCGTAAGAGGACATTAAGTTCACGCTGGGGTGCAAGAGCACCCTACTTCCTACCTGGGCCATTGCTGGGAGTTACTTGGAAGCAAAACATGTGCGGTGAAAATGAGGCATCCCTGGAATCGTTTGATGTTCTTTGCCTTAATTGAATCCATCTACCCCATCTGCCACTCTGCGCTCTGAATTTATTTCCGGAGCCCACTCTCTGAGAATGGTGATTTGGGAGGAAATCTGTTACATACGTTGTTACCTCTTCTAAAGCTCTCGGCACCTGGAAGGCAGGTGCACCGACAGACTCCTCGGCCTGCTGCTTTCCCTCCCCTCACATGCTGTTGGATTAGAAACAGGATGGGGATAAAAGACCCCCGGCAGCAGCAGGAGTCGGAAAGAAAAGAGGGCTTGCAGGCTTTTGCTCATTGGTTTCACCAGCAGGCCCTGGCCATGGCCTGGGTAAACATGGACTCTGTCTAGAAAAATAACTGCAGAACCCGTGGAGCCTGCCTTCTGACTCAGGCAGACGAGCTGAGATGAGAGTGTCACCTGCCTTCACCTCCAACCCCTAGCAGCGGTGGATCTGTGACTTCGTCTCTTGGGGCTCCCGGAACTACTGTGCAGTTAGGAGACCTGTGGTCCCCAGAATGTGGCAGTCCCACTCCCAAAGGTTAGGCAGGAGAAATGACAGCATCTTGTTAGCATTGCCGTAGAGTTCACTTTTGGCCCTTTACCCTAAATATAAATAACATATAGCATTAACATGTACATATTGATTGGCGCAAAGCCCACCCACTCTAAACTCACACTGGATGTGGTTGGAGAAACAGCACAGGGTGGAGACCAGAGTGCAGGCTTGAGAAGATAAGTCTAAGTTACAGTTGCCCATTCAGTCATTTGCCTGGAAACCTTTCTTAATCCACCTGAACCTCAGTTTCCTTATCTGTTAAATGGGTACTAAGGCCCTTCTCTTGGGATTGTTGTGAAGATGGAGTGAGATGCTGGGACTGAGCCCAGGTGTATGGCCTGGCACACAGCGGACGGTCCCAAGTGCTCACGCTGATGTTGCCATTGAGTTGCAGTGCACTGGACCCTGTAGACAGCAGCATCGGATCTAAGCAGGCGGCCACGCTGATGCCAGGAACTGCACATGTGACTCCTTCCAGCACCCTTCTCCCCGCTAAGGAATGACATGAAAGCGCCTCTTTTTGGTTTGCAGAGGCAGGGAGCTCTCTGCCCCTGCATCAGTTGCTTTGGAGACCTCTGTCTGGAACTGCCGCCCAGAACTTCATCTTGACACTTACATCATGGTAGGGTAAATATCCCTTTGTTCCAGAAAGACCCTCTAAGACCTTTTTGTTATGCAAAGGAACTGCAGAATGCAGTCTGGCTGCGGACAAAGCTGCCTTTGTGTGACAATGTCAATAGTTATCTTAGTAGTAAGCAGAAGGGGTTGCCGCAAATCATTTTTGTCTTAGGAACATTTATTTCTTTTCAAAAGAAACCTGTTGAATTCTAAAAACCGTGCCTAAACTGCTTTTTCTCACAAAATAGGAAAACAATAGACATGAAGGGAAAAATTCCCTCAATTACCCCCTTCAAATGTGGTCTCTCCCTTACACTTACTTATTTTTTTAATCGCATTTTCTTTTTTTTTTTTTTAAGCTTTAATTATGTATTTGAAAGGCAGAGTTAGAGAGAGATCTTTCATCCACTGGTTCACTCCCCAAATGGCCACAACAGCCAGTGCTAGGCCAGGATGAAGCCAGAAGCTAGGAACTCCATCCAGGTCTCTCGCATGGGTGGCAGGAGCCTAAGCACTTGGGCCATCATCCGCTACCTTCCCAAGTGCAAGAACTGGGAGCTGGATCCAGATTAGGGCAGCCATGACTCCAGCTGGTGCTCACAGGTGATGCTGGTGTGCCAAAAGACAGCCTAACCCTCTGCACAATGCTGACCCCTCATCCCATTTTCTATACATTTCCCTACCTTATGAGTCTAGCATTACAAGTGTATGTGATGTTGGTCATGCGTGTGTGTGTGTATGAATGTGAATAGTTTCATGTTGCGGACATTTTTCTACAACTTTCTTATTTCACTCATTATGTTACCTGTCATTACATGAAGAATACCTCATTCTTTTTTAACTGCTCCAAGGTATTCCATAAAATGTTCCGAAATCTACTTATGTATTATCTTACTGATGGACATTTAGGGTGCTGGTTTCACAAGAAATAGGGTGGTCGGTCACTTATTTTTACTTATGCTTTTTGAACATGCAACAGAATTTCTGTTCAGACATAGAACTGCTGGTTCTGCACATTGTGCATTTTAATAGTTCTGCCAAGTTGTCTTCTGAAGTAGCTAAATTATACCCCGCTATCCCATATGAGCTTCAAGTCCCTGCTGTTCCACTTCCGATCCAGCTTCCTGCTGACATGCCAGGGTTGGGCATTGTGGTACAACTGGTTAAGCCACTGCTCGGGTTGCCTGCATTCCCTATCGGAACACTGGTTTGAGGCCCAGCCACTCTGCTGCCCATCCAGCTCCCTGCTAATGTGCCTGGGAAGGCAGCAGATGATGTGCTTAGGTTCCTGCCGCCCATGTGGGAGCCCTGGTTACTGCAGGCATGTGCGGAGTGAGCTGATGGATGGTAGATCTCTCTCTCCCTCTCTCTGTCACTCTGCCTTTCAAAGAAATAAATACATCTTAAAAAAAAAAAAAAAAGGAATGTGCCTGTTTCTCACACCCTAGTTAATGCTCCACGTTTCAAACGTTTTATTTTTTTTTTTTGCCAGTAGCACAGGTTAAAAAAATAACTGACTTAATTTGTTTTTCCTTCATCTCTCATGTATTTTTGAACATTTTTAAAATGCTCATTGTATTTTGCTCTGTAAATTGCTGCTAGTACCTTTTGATGATTTCTTATTGGTATTCTTAGATCCTTTTATTGATTTGTAGGAGTTCTCTATCTATTCTAGACTTAGATCTTTTGTTTGAAAATAATGCAATCTTCCATCTTGCAGCATTTCTTCTTTTAACTTGGTTTATGGCATTTTTTTCCATGACACAGTTTGTAAAATCTTTTCCTTTGGATATTGTCGCACGGATCAGATTCTTCGTTGAGGCCTGTTGGCTTCCATGGCTTGTGCAAGAGCCCCTCTTCCTCAAGGTCAGGAAATATTTTCTTAGATTTTTGTTTTCTTTATGCTTACAGGGTTTTGTTTGACACATAGACATATATTGGAATTTTTTCAGCTAATGATGTAAGGTAAAAAAAATTAACTCTTGATCTCTTTCCAAACAGTTACTCAGTTGTCTCCATCTGTTGAATGATTTCTCCTTTCTATAGAAATCTGTCACATCCTCACGTTCCAAATACACCCGTCTGTTTCTAAGCTCTTTTCTCTTCTGCTTGATCTGGTTTTTCCACACCGTTCTAAGGGCTCTTGTTTTATAACATGCTTTGCTGTCTGTTAGAAACAAATGCTTCTTTCTATTACGGAGTTCACAAATTCTGTTCCCTGGGGGCCCGTGTGGTAGCATAGTGGGTTAAGCCACCACCTGCAACGCTATCCCACATGAGCTTCAAGTCCCTGCTGTTCCACTTCCGATCCAGCTTCCTGCTAACATGCCTGGGAAAGCAGCAGATGGTGGCCCAGGTGCTTGGGCCCCTGCCACCCACGTGGAAGACCTGGATAGAGTTTGCAGGCTCCTGGCTTTGGCCTGGCCCAGCCCTGGCTGATGCAGCCATTTGGGGGGTGAGCTAGCAAGGAAGGTCTGTCAGTCTGCCTTTCAAATAAGTAAATTAAAAAGATAAAAAAAAATAGAAACAAACGCAAATTCAATTCCCTAAACAAGTGTTTTTACTCCTGAGACAGGTGTTCTGTGAGACGCTGCTCATTCCCTGTAGGACTAATGGTGATGGAAGAAGATTGTTAGAAACCAGACTCCACTTCATGCCTGCATGGTTGCTGAGAGATGCCAGCCTAGCTCCTGGTAAGGCTTCCGTCCAGGGGATTTTCCTAACCTAGTATCTCAGGGTTGGGGGAAACCTGTTGTCCTCCAAGTATCTGAAAAGAGCACCCTCTATGGGCCATGGTTGGAAATTTCCTTGAATGACAGAGACGTGCCCATCCATGGAGCCATGCTTTGAAGGCTGGAGGAGGGGGAGGCAGCAGACCAGACATGGGGGCTGGGGCCTCTGGGCTCCCAGAGAGGAGTGAGGGTGGCAGGTGGACCGTGTGGGCTGGGCTTCTGGTCCAGCACTGAGCAGTAGACTAGGAATCCTTCAACCCAGTATCCAGTTTAAGGTTTTCTATGTTGTCATTCCTCCTGCCTCACCCATGTTTTTTGAAACCATGTGGCCTGAGTTAGCTATGCTGTGGGAGTTAAGGGGTTCCAGTGACGAGGAAGCCACCACAGGGAGGGTGACCATGTCTGGCTTTCCTCCTGCTCACCCTGGCTGGAAGCAGCATCATGTTCAAGAGATGAGCAGTGCTCAGATCTAGCACGTGGCTGGCTAGCAAGGGAACAGAGAGGGTGCCCAGGCTGGGATGCCTCAGGCCAGGTACCAGTACCTCCTAATGCCTTTCCTTCAGCTCCTGCTCTGCTCCCCTCCCAGGGAGGAAATCCTGAAAACAAAAGGCTAGACTTTGGGGTTCATTTATTTTCAGGAAATAGAAGCCTGTAAGGTCCCCCAAAATGGTCATAGCAAAGAATACAATCCAGGTCACCTTTGCTTGCGACTTCCTAAGCATGATGCTAACACCATAAATTGAAATACCCACGTGGGCCAGTGTTTCTTAGTCATGGGCGAGTTTGCCACCGTCGCCTCCTCTGGGACATCTGCTGATGTCTGGAGGCATTCTTAGTCTGGGGGTGAGGGTAGTGCCTCCTTTTAAAGCTCTTAAATATATTTTTAAAATTTATTTGAAAGAGAAAGAAAGCCCCATCCACTGCTTCACTTTCCAGACACCCTCGAAGGTCGGTGCTGGGCCAGGCCAAAACCAGGAAATGGGAACTCAGTACAGGTGTCCCACATGGGCGGTAGGAACCCAATTATTTAATTCCATCACTGCTGCCTCGCAGGGTCCAAATTAGCAGGAAGCTGGAGACAAGCGCCAGAACCGGGAATCCAGCCCACATCCTCTGATATGGGATATCTGTGTCTAAACTGCTAGGCTAACCACCTGCCCCTGTAGGTGCCTCTGACACCTGGTTGGCAGAAGCCAGAGCTGCTAGCAAGCATCCTCCAAAGAGATAACTCAGGACAGCCCTCCCACAAGAGAGATTGATCCAGTCCAAAATGATAGCAATGGGACTGAGAAGCCCTGGTGCAGGTTCATGAATTTCAGGTTTTCTGTGGCGTTTCCAGATAATGAATGCATAGCCCTCATCAACTACTTTGCCATCGCTGGCTTCTTCCATCACAGAGAACTCTATCAAGAGAGTGTGCTGGAGACTGTGAGATCTATCGTTGCTCCTGGAAGAACCCAAGTTCCTTTCCTTTTCATCATGTGTAGACTCAAGTTCTGTTCCTGGACGGCCGGTGTTTGTATAATCAAAGAAGATGTGAGCTCTCTGTCTTATGGATATGGTTGCCATGCAACAATCGAGTAGTGTGGTCTTATTGTTGGAGTCACATACACACCATTGCTTCCCTCCAATGGGATGTCTGATAGGACGACACCAATGCTGGATTGCTCTTAGTACTCTCAGCTGCAGGTGATGAGATTGAGCCCCAGAGGGAAAGGAAAACTGAGCGTGGCTCCCTCCCATTGGCTTCTTATATTTCCAACTTAGCAAAACCTGGCCAGCATAGGTTGTGCACTGCACAATTTTGTCACTTCCGAGGGATCCCCAGTCCCACCATTGACATCATCCAGCAGGGGTGGGGAACGTCTGTCTGGCCCATGGGCCATTGTAGGAGGCCCACAACATTATCTGGTCTGGCCCTGCCAAGGTAACCACAGGCAGGACTGGAAGGTCAATAAATCTATAGCAGACTAATTTTTAAGTCGATAATTTTGTATGGCCCGCAAATGACATTGTAAATAGCCAAACAGCCCTTGGCAGGAAAAAAAGGTCCCCACCCTGCTCCATCTTACCATAGTGAGCATAAAGAAAAAGTAATCCTCTTTCAGGAAACTTTACTTCCAAATATGTTAGAAAGTAATCTTTCTATTCCTGATTTTGTTGGAATTCAGTTCCCTACCATCTGCCAGGAAAATCACCATAATACATTGGTGGCAGGGATGGGGACCCCTGGGCAGAATGAGAGGTATCAAAGATGACTCTTTGTGGGGTTATCCTTTGAACAGGGTGTTTACTTTTGACTGGAATAGGAGCCAGCCTCCCTTATTGACCATATGTGTGATTACACCTTTATATTATAGGGTGATGCAGTTACAAGTAATGCATTTGAGTTGGCAGATTTCCCAAGAGATTTCTCAGCTATGAGAAATACAGTTGCTTGGGCCACAGCATGAATAAAATGGCCTTGGTATCTAATTTCAGTTGTTCACACTTCACTTCAAGTTTAAGTCCTCTTAGGCTTGGATTGGAGACAGAGACATTGACCTGTACCAGAGAACTTCAAAAAAAGTTCCTGAAAGGTGGGATTAAACCTTGTAGAAATCCATGCAGGTTTTTTTTTTATTATTATATGCATTTGCCATGAATTTTTTGAAGACCTGTGTATGTACAGATTTCAACTTGATTTGCACCAACATAAACTTCTCACTCCATTTTCTATGAACTTTTTGAATGCCAGTTAAATCAATTTGACAGCAGGGAAGTGCAGTGTCGTTTCGATGACTGGCCCATGATTGATTCAGCAACACGCAATGCTTCGGTTTTGATCGATGCCAAGTAATGGCAGGGCCGGAGGTGGGGGCAGATGTTGGGGACTTGATCACCGATGAGGTCTGAGGTGGCCCTCTTCAGGGAGGACCAGAATCCAAGTAAAATACTGCTGGAAGGTGGGAGTGATGGCAGGGCAGGGGTTAGCATCATAGCTGGCTCACACGTTGGTCCTTTAGCACAAAGGACTCTGTCCTCTAACGGAATGGATCTGTGCTCGCTTTGTGCTGAATTTTCAGTGGCGCCATCTCGCCACGTTGCAGTGCAGTGAGTTAGGCTGTTGCCTGTGACAATGACATTCCATTTGATTGCCGGTTCGAGTCCTGGCTGCTCCACTTTCAGGCAAGCTCCCTGCTAATGTACTTGAGAAGGCAGTAGATGATGGTTTAAGTGCTTGGACCCCTTGGGAGACCCAGATGGAGTTCCTAGCTCCTGGCTTCAGCCTGGCCCAGTCCTGGCTGTTAACAGCAGTGAACCAGTGGAGAGATCTCTCTGTCTCTGTCTCTCTCAATCTGTAACTCTGCCTTTCAAATAAATTAATGAATCTTTTGGGAAAAAAAATCTCTGTAAGTCTGGTAACTACCCTAGTTTGGGTTGAAGGTTAAGTATATAAATTTTGTTAAAGATTTATTTATCTATTTGAAAGTCAGAGTTACACAGAGAGAAAAGGAGAGGAAGAGAGAGAGAAGTCTTCCATCCACTGGTTCACTCCCCAGTTGGCTGCAGTGGCTGGAGTTGTGCTGATCTGAAGCCAGAAGCTTCTTCCAGGTCCCCCCTCAGGGGTGCAGGGGCCCAAGGACTTGGGCCATCTTCCACTGCTTTCCCAGGACATAGCAGAGAGCTGGGTCGGAAATGGAGCAGCCAGGACTCAAAACTGGTGCCTACCTGGGATGCCGGCACTCAGGCAGCGGCTTTACCCACTACACCACAGTGCAGGCTCCTTTATTTTTTTTTAAATACAAATAGGGTGGGGAAGCTTTAAAATATTACTATTACTGTTATTATTTTGAGAAGCAGAGAAACAGAGTGAGAGAGAAAATTCCCATCCACTGGTTCACTCTCCAAATTCCCACACCACCTGGTGCTGAGCCAGGCCCGAGGCAGGAGCCCGGAACTCAATCCTGGTCTCCCACTGGAGTGGCAAAGACACAACCACTTGAGCCGGAACCTGCTGCCTCCCAGGGTGCACACCGGCAGCCAGCTGGACTCTTGAGCGGAGCTTGGACTCGAACCCAGGCACTCTGATATAGCATATGGCCACCTCCCCACTGCTGCACCAAATGCCCACCCCATGGCCCCTGAAAGAAGAGACTGACAGACCCATCTTGCCTGGTCTCCTGCCCTGTGCCTCGTGCTGTGGTCCGAGAGGAGCCATTGGTCACCAGGCGCTGGCGGTCTCATCTGAGGGAGACAGGTGTGCGATTAGGGAACAGGACGGCCGGGAGAAGGTATTGATCTGAGAAGCAGGTGTCAGATGCCAGAGGCAGGCTGCAGAGGTGGGCAGCAAAGGCTTGGGAGGGTGGAGAAACTACATCCGGGCTGGCGAAGGCTGTGAGGGTGTGAATAGTTGGTGGGCAGAGCACCCTGGTGCTGATGAGGGCAACCTCACCCTGGGTCACGAGGGTGAAGTTCCCCACGGCGGAGCCCTTCGTGGAAAACAGGTGAGTCTCAGGGTGTGCAGTTAGGACGAGTTTAGTTTCAAATGGTTGCATGATGTTTCCAAGATTGGAAATCTACAGTGTGAGATAACACACGTTAAGAATACAGCATGTTCTTAGACGAATGATCTGTTTTTCTGGGAAATGCTTTTATCAAGAACAAATCTCTAAAATTAGGGCTCTGCGAGCTGAATGAGCTAATTAGGTGAGAAGGATGAACTGTTCGAGATTCTTCAAGCATCCAGTTGGCATGCAGGAGACTAAATCCAGGGCCGGGTTGTGGCGCAGCAGGTTAAGCGGCTGCTTGCGATGCAGGCATCCCATAGAAGAGCACTGGTTTGAGTCCTGGTTCAAGTCCTGGCTGCTGCAACTTCTGATCTAGCTCCCTGCTAACTTGCTAACGCACCTGGGAAGGCATAAGATGATAGCCCACATGCTTGGGCCCCTGCAACTCATATGGGAGCCCTGGATGGAATT